ATTCTGGGTCCCCCCTGAGCCTTCCCCAAATCTCTGAGTCCCCCCTGAGCCCTGTCCTGGGTCCCCCATGAACAGCAGGGTCCCCCCAAACCCCTTCCTGGAGCATCTGGTTCCCCCTGGAGCCCCATAACTTTGTGTCCCCCCCAATCCCTGGGTGCCCCTGTGGGACCCCCTGACCCCGCTGTCCCCCCCAGAGCACGGAGGGGGACAGTGAGGACACGGACCTGCAGATCTTCTGCGTGTCCTGTGGCCACCCCATCAACCCCAAGGTGGCCCTGAGGCACATGGAGCGCTGCTACGCCAAGGTGAGCCCGGGCTCGGGGGCACCTCTGGGTGCCTTGGGGGTTCCATGGGCTCTGTGGGATCGTCCATGGCACTCCAGGCTCCTGTGGGATCATCCATGGGCTCTGTGGGATCATCCATGGGGTCTGTGGGATCATCCATGGGGTCTGTGGGATTGTCTGTGATCATCTGTGGGACCTGTGGGATCATCCATGGCACTCCCTGGGCTGCTCTGGGATCGTCCATGGGATTTGTGGGATCATCTGTGGGATCATCCATGGCACTCCAGGCTCCTGTGGGATCATCCATGGGGTCTGTGGGATCATCCATGGCACTCCCTGGGCTGCTCTGGGATCATCCATGGCACTCCCTGGGCTGCTCTGGGATCATCCATGGGGTCTGTGGGATCATCCATGGGGTCTGTGGGATCATCCATGGGATCTGTGGGATCATCTTTGGGATCTGTGGGATCATCCATGGCACTCTCTGGGCTACTGTGGGATCATCCATGGGGTCTGTGTGCCCCTGTTGGTTCTTGGGATCTGTGGGATCATCCATGGGATCTGTGGGATCATCCATGGCACTCCAGGTTCCTTTGGGATCATCCATGGGGTCTGTGGGATCATCCATGGGATCTGTGGGATCATCCGTGGCACTCCAAGCTCTTGTGGGATCACCCATGGGGTCTGTGGGATCATCCGTGGCACTCTCTGGAACTTTGGGGGTCTCTGTAGGGTCTGTGGGGGCTGTAGGGACCTCCTGGGAGCTCTGTAGAGCCTGGGGGTTCTGTGGGGTCCCATGGGACTCTGTAGGGGCTGGGGGGGCTCCATGGGGAAACTGTGGGAGGGCTCAGGGGGGCTCTGGAGGGGCTGGGAGTCCCTCTGGGGGTCCATAGGGCTTTGGGGAGGGGGCTCAGGGTTCCCATCCCTGCCCCCCCCTTTTGACACCCCCCAACCCCATTGCAGTACGAGAGCCAAACGTCCTTCGGGTCCATGTACCCCACCCGCATCGAGGGGTGAGTGGGGAGGGGGCTCTGGGGGGGAAGGGGGACCCCAGACCCTTAAATCCTCCTGGGAAGAATGGGGAGCACCCAGGGGAGACCCCAGACCCCTAAGTCCTCCTGGGAAGGGATGGGGAGCACCCTGGGGGGACCCCAGACCCCTAAATCCTCCTGGGAAGGATGGGGAGCACCCTGGGGGGACCCCAGACCCCTAAATCCTCCTGGGAAGGATGGGGAGCACCCTGGGGGGACCCCAGACCCCTAAATCCTCCTGGGAAGGGAGGGGGAGCAGCCTGGGGGGACCCCAGACCCCTAAATCCTTCTGGGAAGGGAGGGGGAGCACCCAGACCAGGCTTTTTGGGGTGGGGGTGTCACCTCTTGTGTCCCCCCCAGGGCTACCCGGCTGTTCTGTGACGTTTACAACCCCCAGAGCAAAACCTACTGCAAGAGGCTGCAGGTGCTGTGCCCCGAGCACTCCCGGGACCCCAAGGTGGGCACAGAGTGAGAGTTTGGGGTGGAATTTAGGGGATCTGTGCCCTGAGCAGTCCAGGGACCCCAAAGTGGGCACAGAGTGAGGTTTTGGGGTGGAATTTAGGGGATCTGTGCCCAGAGCATTCATGGCACCCCAAAGTGCACATGGGGTGGCTTTGTGGGGCAGGGGCAGTGCCCAGGACAGTCCTGAGACCCCAAGTTGGGCACGGAATGAGGTTTTGGGGTGGAATTTAGGGAATCTGTGCCCTGAGCACTCCCGGGACCCCAAGGTGGGCACAGGGGGACAAAACAGGGGTAGTGGTAGTGCCCAGGACAGTCTTGAGATCCCAAAGTGGGCACAGAGTGAGGTTTTGGAGTGGAATTTTAGGGGATCTGTGCCCTGAGCACTCCTGAGACCCCAAGGTGCACATGGGGTGGCTTTGTGGGGCAGGGGCAGTGCCCAGGACAGTCCTGAGACCCCAAGGTGGGCACGGAATGAGGTTTTGGGGTGGAATTCAGGGGATCTGTGCCCAGAGCACTCCCGGGACCCCAAAGTGGGCACAGAATGAGATTTTGGGGTGGAATTTAGGGAATCTGTGCCCTGATCACTCCAGGGACCACAAGGTGGGCACAGAATGAGATTTTGGGGTGGAATTTAGGGAATCTGTGCCCTGATCACTCCAGGGACCACAAGGTGGGCACAGAATGAGATTTTGGGGTGGAATTTAGGGAATCTGTGCCCTGATCACTCCAGGGACCACAAGGTGGGCACAGAATGAGGTTTTGGGGTGGAATTTAGGGGATCTGTGCCCAGAGCACTCCCAGGACACCAAGATGGGCATGAGGAGACAGGAGTGGGGCAGTGCCCAGTACACCAAGGTGGACATGAGGGGACACCAAGGTGGACATGAGGGGACAGCACAGGGGCAGTGCCCAGGACACTCCCAGGACGCCCAGGGTGGCCGTGGAGGTGGCAGGGGGGGCTCTGGGGTGTCCCCAGCCCGGCGCTGACCCCGTGCCCGCCCAGGTGCCCGCGGATGAGGTGTGCGGGTGCCCTCTGGTGCGCGACGTCTTCGAGCTGACCGGGGACTTCTGCCGCGTCCCCAAGCGCAAGTGCCACCGTCACTACTGCTGGGAGAAGCTGCGCCGCGCCGAGGTGGACCTGGAGCGCGTCCGCGTGGTGGGTGCCACCGCCCAGCGTCCCCAAAGTGTCCCCAAAGTGTCCCCAAAGTGTCCCCACGCTGCTCCATGTCCCCGTGGTGTCTGTCCTGTGTTCTGGTATCTCCGCACTGCTCCACGTCCCCGTGGTGTCTGTCCCATGTTACACTGTCCTCATGCGGTCCCCATGGTCCCCACACTGTCCTGTGTCCCTGTTCCCATGCTGTCCTTGTCACTGTCCCCACACTGTCCCTGGTGCTGTCCCCATGCTGTCCTTGTCACTGTCCCCACACTGTCCTGTGTCCCTGTCCCCATGCTGTCCTTGTCACTGTCCCCACACTGTCCCTGGTGCTGTCCCCATGCTGTTCTTGGCATCGTCCCCACGCTGTCCCATGTCCCCACACTGTCCCCACGCTGTCCCCTCCTGCAGTGGTACAAGCTGGACGAGCTGTGTGTCCCTGTCCCCATGCTGTCCCTGTCACTGTCCCTGTCCCCACAGTGGTACAAGCTGGACAAGCTGTGTGTCACTGTCCCTGTCCCCACACTGTCCCTGTCCCCACAGTGGTACAAGCTGTGTGTCACTGTCCCCACACTGTCCCCACAGTGGTACAAGCTGGACAAGCTATTTGAGCAGGACAGTGTCACTGTCCCTGTGTCCCTGTCCCTGTCCCACACTGTCCCTGTCCCTGTCCCCACACTGTCCCTGTCCCCACAGTGGTACAAGCTGGACGAGCTGTGTGTCCCTGTCCCTGTCCCCACATTGTCACTGTCCCTGTCCCTGTCCCTGTCCCCGCAGTGGTACAAGCTGGACGAGCTGTTCAAGCAGGACAGTGTCCGTGTCCCCACACTGTCCCTGTCCCACACTGTCCCTGTCCCCACAATGGTACAAGCTGGACGAGCTGTGTGTCCCTGTCCCTGTCCCACACTGTCCCCACACTGTCCCCACAGTGGTACAAGCTGGACGAGCTGTTCGAGCAGGACAGTGTCACTGTCCCTGTGTCCCTGTCCCTGTCCCACACTGTCCCTGTCCCACACTGTCCCCACACTGTCCCCACAGTGGTACAAGCTGGACGAGCTGTTCGAGCAGGAGCGCAATGTGCGGGCGGCCATGACGAACCGGGCGGGGCTGCTGGCGCTGATGCTGCACCAAACCATCCAGCACGACCCCCTGACCACGGACCTGCGCTCGGACCGCTGAGCAGGGCCTGGCTCGGGCTGCTGACCGCCCCTGGAGCCCCAAAACCCCCCCAGACCCCTCCCCACATCCCCCCCACCCCTGGTTCCTGGGTGCTCCCCCATCCCCAAATAAACTGGGTGTGCAAAAGGAGTCTGGGGGTGTCCCTGGGCTCTCGGTGGGATTTGTGGGATACAGGGAGGGATTTCTGTGGGGTCTTTGTGATCCTGGGGGTGCCTTTTGGGGGAATTTCAGGAGCTTCTGGGTTCTGGTACCACCCCAGACCCTGCAGAGGCTGTGGGGATCCCTTCTCTGGCCTTGGGGGTGGCTGAGGGGGTCCTGAGGAGACTGGGGGGTCTTTGGGGGGCAGGGGGGATAGAAATGGGAGCAGCAACCAAGAGGGGGATTGAGGGGTCCCAGGTGGTTTTGGGGGGCTCTTTATGGGGGGGTCCTGAGGGTTCTGTGGGAGTGATCATAGGAGCACTATCCAAGAGGGGGCTGGGAGGGGTCCCTGGTGGTGTTTGGGGTCCTTTGGGGGGGGTCCTGAGGGTCTTGGGCAGAGGGAAATGGCAGCACTATCCAAGGGGAAGCTGGGAGGGGTCCCTGGTGGTGTGTGGGGTCCTTTGGGGGATTCGGGGGGGAAAAATGGGGGCAGCATCTGTGGGGGCTTGGGAGGGGTCCCTGATGGTGTTTGGGGGGGTTCTGGGGGTCCTGGGCAGGCAGAAATGGCAGCGCTATCCAAGGGGAAGCTGGGAGGGGTCCCTGGTGGTGTTCGGGGTCCTTTGTGGGGTCCTGGGCGGGGGGAAGGGTCCCAATGGGCGCGGGGAAAACGCTCAGGGTTCATTAGCATAGCCACGCCCGCGCCATGCCTCATTAGCATAGCACCGCCCCTCCTCGTCACGCGCCCGCTGTCACGTGCCCCTCCTCTCCCCATGGGTCTCCTATCGCCCCGCCCCTCCCTGGTTTTCCCTTTTCTCATTGGTCCACACCGCATCATGTGACCCACAGACCCCGCCCACTACTTTTCCCGCCCGGCGTTTCCGCTTCCGGCGCGGGGCCCCGCCCCCTCCGCCCCCCGCGGCCTCGCGGCGTCGCCGGAGGAAGAGGAGGAGGAAGAGGAGGAGGAAGAGGAAGAGCTGCGCCACAGGCGGGGGCGGATGGGAACGGTGAGGGGCCAGGGGGGTGCGGAACCGCAGCGGGGTTCGGCGAGGAGCGGGGAGCGTGAGGGATCCGAGCGGGGAGACGCGGCCGGTGGGGACGGGCGGGCCGTGAGGGGGCAGGGGGGGCGGCTCGGGGGGGGGGTTCGTCGGGGGGAAGGGGCGTGAGGGAGAGGGCTGGGAAAGGGAGGGGGAGTTTGGGGGCAGTTTGTGAGGGGGAGAGGCTGTTTGTGAGGGAAAGGGGCAGTTTTGGGGCAGTTTCTGAGGGGGAGGGGCAGTTTGGGGTTGTTTCTGAGGGGGAGGGGCAGTTTGGAGGGCAGTTTATGAGGGGGAGGGGCAGTTTTGGAGGCTGTTTGTGAGGGGAAGGGGCAGTTTCTGAGGGGGAGGGGCGGTTTGAGGGCAGTTTGTGAGGGGGAGGGGCAGTTTGGCGGGGCTGTTTCTGAGGGAAAGTGGCTGTTTGTGAGGGGAAGGGGCAGTTTGTGAGGGGAAGGGGCGGTTTGAGGGCGGTTTGTGAGGGGAAGGGGCGGTTTGTGAGGGGAAGGGGCGGTTTGAGGGCGGTTTGTGAGGGGGAAGCGGCAGTTTAGGGGCAGTTTATGAGGGGGCGGCACCGCTTAAAGGGTATTTGTGGTTGGGGGCGGAACTCCGGGCCAGTTTTGGGGGTGTCCTTGCGGGGCAGGGGCGGACCCGGAGCTGTGTTTGTGTGGGGGAGGGGAGGGGGCCCTGGCGGTGGGGGAGGGGAGGATGGAGTCACGTGGGGAGGGGGCGGGGCCGGGCTGTGTTTGGGGGCGGGGTCCGGGGGGGTGTTTGGGCTCTCGGGGCCGGCCGTGACCCCCTCCCCACCCTCTCCCCGGGGCTCTCAGCCCCCCCGCAGGATGGCGGAGGGCTGGGCCGAGTGCCCGGCGCTGGGCCCGGGCTGGCAGCGCCGCGAAGCTTTTCGGAAATCCGGGGCCACCAGCGGCCGCAGCGACACCTACTACAAGAGGTTGCCCTTCCCCAAAAACCCCCAACGCCCCCCTCCCACCCCCACGGGACTGCGGCTGGGGCCGGTTCTGCCATTTCTCTCTCCTAGACCCCATCCCGTGTCCATTTGGGGGCTTCCCCCCCACTCCCCGGTGGTGTTTCAGAGCCCCTCTCCCATCTTCCCCGGGTCACCTTAGTGCCCCTTTCCCCAAATATTCCCAGTCCCCTCCAATTCTTCCAGGCTATTTTAGGGCTCGGTGGGTCCTCTTTGAGAGTTTTGGGTCCCCCTTTCCCAATCTCCCTTTGGCATTTGGTGGCTCCCCCAGTCTCAGCGGTTCCCCTGGGGTTTTGGGGCTGTTCCTGGGGATTTTGGGGCCCATCTGACCACAATCCCCGGCAGCCCCACAGGGCAGAAGTTCCGCAGTAAGATCGAGCTGCGCCGGTTCCTGGGCCCCGGGCACGACCTCAGCAACTTCGACTTCAAATCGGGGCAGCAGCGACCTGGCCCCACCCGGGTATGGAGTATGGGACCCTAAAAAACCACGGGAGGGGGCACAAAAATCCCAAAAAACCTCGGGGAGGGAAACCTGGAGTTCTCCTTGGGGGGGAGCCCCATAACTAGAAAGGAATTAGGGGTGGAATAAAAAGATTGGGTAGAAGAAGCTCCTCCAAATGAAGTTGAGGAGAACCTAAATTGGAGAAGGGGAGGAACATGGGGTCTTTAAACTGGGGAGGAACAGTAAATGGGGGTTTTATGGGGGTTTTGAAGTGGCCCCTTTTTGTGCCTTTCAGACCAGGAAGAGCCCAAAATGGCACCTGCCCGCCGGGCCCCTCCCAGAGCCCCCCAAAATCTTCAAAAAGGAGGAGGAGGAGGTGGAGGTGGAAGTGGAGGTGGGCGGGGCTGAGACCGAGAAGGCCCCACCCTCATCAGTTCAGGCCCTGCCCATCCCCATCCAGGCCACGCCCTCTCCATCTGTGGCCACGCCCCTGCCGGAGCCCCCCCATCGCCGGACCCGGAAGCGGCCGCCCCTGGAGCCCCCCCAGGATGGGGTGGTGGCGTGAGTGGGGGATGGGGGGGGGTCCCTGGGGGTCCTCCGGGGGTGGGGGTGGGGGTGCCCTGGAACTCTTAGTGTGGGGAGGGGGTCCCAGGAGCGGGGGGTGACCCCAAGAGGGAGGGATTGGGGTCCCTGGGGGGAATTTGGAGGAGCCCTGGGGAGAAATTCTGAGGGGGGGGGGGGTTCCCTCAGGGGGGTTCTGGGGGGCAGTGGGGGTGTTGGGGTCCCCCTGGCCCCCCACAAAAATGCTGCCCTCTGCTCTGCAGGCTGTGTGCTGGCTGCCAGAGCCTCTTCCCGGGGGTGTCCCTGCCCCCCCAGCGCCGCTGCCGCTGGCTCTGCCCTGACTGCCGTGGTGAGCTTCGGCCTCAGCGCCCTCCTCCTCATCCTCTCCGTGCTCCTCCTCATCCTCTCCGTGCTCCTCCTCATCCTCTCCGTGCTCCTCCTCCTTCTCTGAGTTTCTCTCACCTTCCTCATCTCTCTCAGAGATTTTTGTGTCTTATCCTCTTCCTTATGTTCCTGTTGTTCTTGTTCTTCCTTCTTCATTCCCTGGGTTTTTCCTCTCCATCATCATCATCATCATCCCCTGGATTGTTTTAACCTCATAATTTTAATTTTATTCCAACTTCCCATTCCTCCTCCTCCTTCCTGGTTCTTCCCTGCTCCTTTTTCCCTTTGCTTTGGACCATTCTGGTGGGGAAGGAGTTTGGGAGGGGGGATCAGGGGGGAATCCCAGCAAAGCTGGGGTGACCCTGACCCCCTTCCTCCACCTCCCCCAGCCCAGAGACGAGACTTCAACCGGGAGCAGCGATTCTACAAGGTACCCCCAACCCCTCAGGGGGGCTGAATGGTGCTCCACAAATCCCTCAGGGGGTCTGGGGGCTCCCCCAGAGCCCTGACACCCCCTGCCCACAGCGGGTGGGCTGTGGCACGTGCCAGGCCTGTCGCATCCCCGAGGACTGCGGCATCTGCAGCGCCTGTGCCCGCAGCGCCCCCGGGGGCCCCGCAGGGCCCGGACGGACCCCCAAGTGCCTCCTGCGCCGCTGCCTGCGCATTGTCAAGAAGGTACTGGCACCCCCCTGTCACTGTCACTCCTCTGGGTGTCACCAACGCCCCCCCAGTGTCATCAACATCCTCTCAATGTCACCGGCACCCCCCTGTCACTGGCACCCCTCTGGGTGTCACCAATTCCCCCCTCAGTGTCACCAACATCACCTCAATGTCACCAACATCACCTCAATGTCACCAGCACCCCCTTGTCACTGGCACCCCTCAGTGTCACCAACACCCTCCCAGTGTCACCAACATCCCCTCAGTGTCACCAGCACCTCCTTGTCACTGTCACCCACCCTGCTGTCCTGGGTAACCCCCCTGTCCCCACAGGGCCTGGGCTGCGGCTCCTGCCTTGTTCCCCTGTCCCTTGTCCCTGTCCCTTGTCTGTGGCTGCTCATTCACCCATGTCCTCCTATATCCTCCCGTGTTATCCCATATTTGTTATCCCATGTTTTCCCATATTTCCCTGTGTTTTCCCTTATTTGTTATCCCATTTTTCCCATATTTCCCTGTGTTTTCCCTTATTTGTTATCCCATTTTTTCCCATATTTCCCTGTGTTTTCCCTTATTTGTTATCCCATTTTTCCCTGTGTTTTCCCATGTTTGTTATCCCATATTTCCCTGTGTTTCCCTGCTGTCCTGGGTAACCCCCGTGTCCCCACAGGGCCTGGGCTGCGGCTCCTTCTTTGTCCCCCTGTCCCCTGTCTGTGGCCGTTCATTCACCCACGTCCTCCTATACCCTCGAGTGTTATCCCATGTTTGTTATCCCATGTTTTCCCATATTTCCCTGTGCTATCCCATGTTTGTTATCCCTTTTTTCCCCATGTTTTCCCATATTTCCCTGTGTTTTGTCCCCACAGGTCTGGGCTGTGGCTCCTGCCTTGTCCCCCTGTCCCTTGTCTGTGGCTGCTCATTCACCCATGTCCTCCTATATCCTCCCCTGTTATCCCATATTTGTTATCCCATGTTTTCCCCATATTTCCCATGTGTTACCCCATATTTGTTACCCCATTTTTTCCCATATTTGTCCCCGCAGGGCCTAGGCTGCGGCTCCTGCCTTGTCCCCCTGTCCCTGTCCTTGTCCCTTGTCTGTGGCCGTTCATTCACCCACGTCCTCCTATACCCTCGAGTGTTATCCCATGTTTGTTATCCCATATTTTCCTGTGTTTTCCCATGTTTGTTATCCCATATTTCCCTGTGTTACCCCATGTTTGTTACCCCATTTTTTCCCGTATTTGTCCCCGCAGGGCCTGGGCTGCGGCTCCTGCGCCGGCTGCCTGAGCACCGAGGACTGCGGCAGCTGCTGCATCTGCCTGCGGCGCCTGCAGCCCGGCCTCAAGCGCCAGTGGCGCTGCCTGCGCCGCCGCTGCCTGCGCCCCAAGGTGGGACTGTCCCCCCGGAACCCCCCCAGTGTCACCCCAGCCACCTCCCCGCTGTCACCCTGGTGTGTCCCCAACCCGTTGTCACCTGCTGACCCCTCACCCTGTGTCCCCCCAGAAAGCCAGAGTGGCCAAGAAGCCGCAGAGCCCCCGGCCCCTGACAGAGGTGAGTGCGGGACCCCCACACCGGGCAGTGGCACAGACCCCCGGGTATTCGGGGAGAGGGGGGACCCCCAAAGTTCCCCCCTCAGCCCCATTTCCTCCCTCCAGAAGTGGAAGCCTCTCGTGGAGCGGGAGCCCAGTGACGCCTCCGGCGCCAGGCACAGAGTGAGTGGGGGGACCCCCCTGGGCACACCTGGGCACATCTGGAACCCCCAGCCCCCCCCAAAACCCCCCCCTCCCTCCCAGAAGCTGCTGAACAAGGGCAAGGAGAAGAAGAAGCCGGGGCGACCCCCGAAGGCCCCTGGGCCCCGCGGGGTGAGTGACAGGCCTTGGTCCCACCCCCTGTCTTATAGCCCCGCCCCTCCCTCAATGGCCACGCCCTTCCCAGAGCAGCTATTGGGGCAGGGGGGGAAGTCGTAATGCCCTTAATATAGGGGCCTAAAAAGGGGGCAGTATTGGGGTGCAGGTACCGTAATGATCCTATGAGCCATTCCAAGGCTCAATATTGGCCTTCAGCACATTCAAACCCCACAGATATTGGGGTGCCAGTACCATAATACCCCTAATGCTGGGGCTAGGTCATTGTGACACCCCAAAAACTCTTCACAGCTGATGGTGGGATCTGAACAACCCTGGCTGTGGGGTTGGGGCACTGTAATGCTCCAAATAATGGGGTTCAGGTACCCCAAAACCCTTCAGAGCAGGGTTTGGTTACCATAATTTTCTTAGTAACCACTCCAGGTTTAATAGCAGGACCCAAGGTACCAATATTGGGGTGCGGATACCGTAATGCCCCAAATAGCAGGGCTCAGATACCATAATGTCCCAAATATCAGGGCATAGTTACTGTAATGCCTCAAATACCGGGGCTCAGATACCATAATGGCTTTAATAGTGGGACTCGGATGCCGTAATGCCCCAAATACCGGGGCTCAGGTACCGTAATGCCTTTAATAGCAGGGTGCAGATACCGTAATGCCTTTAATACTGGGGCTTAGATACCATAAAGCCCCAAATACCAGAGTTCAGATACTGTAATGCTTCTAATACTGGGGCTCAGATACTGTAATGCCTGTAATAGTGGGATACAGGTACCATAATGCCTTTAATAGCAGGGTGCAGATACCGTAATGCCCCAAATAGCAGGGCTCAGATACCATAATGCCTCAAATAGCAGGGCTCAGATACTGTAATGCCCCAAATAGCAGGGTTGAGATACCGTAATGCCCCAAATACCGGAGTTCAGCTGCCGTAATGCTTCTAATACTGGGGCTCAGATACTGTAATGCCTGTAATAGTGGGATACAGGTACCACAATGCCTTTAATAGCAGGGTGCAGATACCGTAATGCCTCCAATAGTGGTATGCAGGTACCGTAATGCCCCAAATAGCAGGGCTCAGATACCGTAATGCCTCTAATAGTGGGATGCAGGTACTGTAATGCCCCAAATAGCGGGGTTCAGATACCATAATGCCCCAAATACCAGGGCTCAGATACCGTAATGCTGCTAATACTGGGGCTCAGATACCGTAATGCCTCAAACACTGGGGCTCGCATACCGTAATGCCTCTAATAGCTGCTCCTACCTGAATGCCTGCCTCAGCCTAATCTCCTGCTGCTGCTGCTGCCTGGCTGCCGTAATACCCCTAATACCGCCGCATCTACCGTAACGCTCCTAATAGCTGCTCCCACACTAACACCGCGCCACCGGGCGGGTCCTGGGGACAGCTGGGGACCCGGGGGTGACGCCGCTCTCTGCCGGCAGCGGGGGGTGCGGAGCCGGGCCAGCCGGCGCTGCGGGGTGTGCGCAGCCTGCCGGCGCCCGGCCGACTGCGGCCGCTGCGACTTCTGCCGGGACAAGCCCAAATTCGGGGGGCAGAACCTCAAGCGCCAGAAGTGCCGCTGGAGGCAGTGCCTGCGCTGTGCCATGGTGGGTGCCCCCCGGTGCTTCTTCCTCCCCAGTGCCTCTCAGTAACCTCCCAGCGGAGCCCCCCCAGCCATGCCCTCCACCCCCCCTTTCCTCAGCGGCCCGACTCCTTCGGCTGGGGAAACTGAGGCACGCGCAAGGTTCGGGCTCCCCCGGCCACCCCGGCGCTGGGTGCAGCCCAGTTTGGACCAGTATGGACAAGTTTGGGGTGGGAGGGGAGGGGGAAATTGGTTGGCGCCCAGGTGGCACCTGGTGGACACTTGGGTCTTGTTTTTGGGTGGGGAGGGGGGGAGTTGCCCCGACGCCTGGGTCCTTCCTGCATTGCTTGGCTTTGGGGGGCTCACCCTGGGTCCCTTTTGGGGGGAAGGGGTGGGGGTCCCTCAGCCAGCTTGGGCCCACCTTGGGGGGGGTTCTTCCTGCATTTGTGCCCCCCTCCCCAAATCCAAATCCGCATCCCCCTCCCCTTGGAACCGCCCCACCCGCTCTGAGGTTTCTCTCCTGGCGCAGAGGCGGCTGCTGCCGGTGGGGGGGGGTCGCTGGGGGCCCCCCTGGAGCGGCCGCCCCCTCCCCCTGTCCAGGCCCCGCCGCCGCCGGCCCCCCCGGCCCCCCCCGCGCCGCTGCCCGGAGCCGCCGCCGCCCGCCCCGCCCCCCCCCGCAAGGTAACGGGACCCCCCCCACCCCCGCTCATGGGGGACCCCAAAATGCTCCACACCCCCCCCCCCCCCCCCTTTTGGCTGTGCTTGCTTTGCTGCTTTGCTCTGCACGGACCCTCCCCCCCTCGGGGGGACCCAGGCGTCGGGGGAGGGGACCAAGGTGTCCCCACGTCCCCCCTCCCCCCGCGGGAGGGGCTCTGGGGGGGTTTTGGGGACCCCCCAGATGCCTTGGTCCCCTCCTCCCCCGTTGACCCCAAGGTATGTGTGTGTGTGCCTCAGTTTCCCCACAGGGGATGAGGTGGGGGTGGGTCCTCTGCAGACACTTAGGTCCCTTTTTTGGGGGTGGGGGGTCCCTCCTGGATACCTGGGGGGAAATGAGGGGGGTCTCACCTGGCTGCCCTGACCTGCCCCTCCTCCACAGGACAAGGAGGAGCCGCTGGGGGGGGCTGAGAAGGGCTCCAGGCCCCTCCCGGGGCCCCCTCTGCGCCTCTGCCCCATCAAGGAGGAATCAGGACCCCTCCCCCGCCTCGAGGTGAGACCCCCCGGCTGCCTGGGGCCCCCCCTGGACACCTGGGACCCCCCCGTGACCCCCCCTGCCCCCCAGGACCCTCGCCTGGGGCTCCTCATCGCCTCGGCCCCGCGCCTCAAAGGGGCCCCCCCGGAGCCCAGCGTCGCCCCCCAAAGGGTGAGTGGGACCCCCCAAACACCCCCTGAGCCTCCTCGGGGTGCCTGGGACCCCCATAACGCCCCTGCCCCCCCCCCGTTTTCCAGCCCCCCCCGGGGGATTTGGGGGTCCTGATTGCCGCCACCCCCCCGCGTGAAGCAGGAGCAGCCGCAGCCCAGCGCGTCCCTGGTGCCGGTAAGGGGGGGAACCCTGGGATTTGGGGGGGGGTCCCTGGGATTTGGGGGGGGTCCTGAGCCTCTGCCTTCACCCCCAGGTGCCCCCCCAACCTCCCCCTGCCCAGCTGGTGGTGCTGGATGAGAGTGAGGAGGAGGAGGAGGAGGAAGAGGAGGAAGGCAGCAGCCGAGTGGTGAGGAAGGGGGGGGGGATCAGAGGATTTGGGGAGGGTCCTGAGCAATTTGGGGAGTCCTGGTGGGGGGGATTTTAATGGGTTGAGAGGGTCTTGGGAAGGGGTTGGGAGTGTCCTGGGGGGGCTTTAGAGGGGATTGGGGCAAGGGGGGAAGTTCTGGGAAATGGGAACTTTAGGGGGGTTTGGGGTCCGGGTGATTTGGGGAAGGGATTTTGGGGAGCAGGGGAAGGTTTTGGGGTCCTGGTGATTTGGGGAAGGGATTTTGGGTAGTGAGGGGAGGTTTTTGGGGTCCTGGTGTGTTGGGGAAGGGATTTTGGGGATTGAGGGGAGGTTTTTGGTGTCCTGGTGATTTGGGGAAGGGATTTTGGGGTCCTGGTGATTTGGGGAAGGGATTTTGGGGAGCAGGGGAGGTTTTTGGTGTTCTGGTAATTTGAGGAAGGGATTTTGGGGTCCTGGTGATTTGGGGAAGGGATTTTGGGGAGCGAGGGGAGGTTTTTGGGGTCCTAGCGAGTTGGGGAAGGGATTTTGGGGTCCTGGTGATTTGGGGAAGGGATTTTGGGTAGTGAGGGGAGGTTTTTGGGGTCCTGGTGATTTGGGGAAGGGATTTTGGTGTTCTTGTGATTTGGGGAAGGGATTTTGGGGAGCAGGGGAGGTTTTTGGTGTTCTGGTAATTTGAGGAAGGGATTTTGGGGTCCTGGTGATTTGGGGAAGGGATTTTGGGGAGCGAGGGGAGGTTTTTGGGGTCCTAGCGAGTTGGGGAAGGGATTTTGGGGTCCTGGTGATTTGGGGAAGGGATTTTGGGTAGTGAGGGGAGGTTTTTGGGGTCCTGGTGATTTGGGGAAGGGATTTTGGTGTTCTTGTGATTTGGGGAAGGGATTTTGGGGAGCAGGGGAGGTTTTTGGTGTCCTGGTGATTTGGGGAAGGGATTTTGGGTAGTGAGGGGAGGTTTTTGGGGTCCTGGTGATTTGGGGAAGGGATTTTGGGGAGCGGGGGGAGGTTTTTGGTGTTCTGGTAATTTGGGGAAGGGATTTTGGGGTCCTGGTGATTTGGGGAAGGGATTTTGGGTAGTGAGGGGAGGTTTTTGGGGTCCTGGTGGGTTGGGGAAGGGACTCTGGGCATGACCCTTGAGTTTTTTCGGGATGCTCTCCAAACAGGGGGGGTTTATACAAGGAGGAGATTCCTGCTGGCTGGGGGGGGGATTCTTGGGGGGGTCTCTATGCATCCCCCCCACCCTATTAACCCTTTCTCCCCCGCAGCCCTTCCCGCTGCCCCCCGCTCCCCAGCTCTGGCCCGGCTCCTTCCTGGAGGAACTGGCTGAGATTCCCCTCCCGGCTCACTGGGGAGTCGTGGGGGCTGACGGGGGTCCCGGGCCGTGCCCGGCGCGGGGGCTGCGCCTGGTGCAGCGCTGCCCCCGCTCCTCCATGGCCGCGGCCGCCGTGCTGCTCAACCCGGGCTTGGCTTTCCGGGTCCTGGTGGCCCGAGGCCGCCCGGTGCCCCCCGGGCACGAGGTGCTGGCCCGGCGCCCCCCCCTGCGCTCCGTGCTGGACCTGGTGGAGCTGCTCTGCGATCTCGAGGCCTACGGGCCCTGCCCGGGACCCCCGGGACCCCCGGCCCGGCCCCCCGCCCCTCGCTGCCATGTCCTGGTGAGGGGGGGGCGCTGCTGCCGGCCCTGCCAAATGCTGGCGGGGGAGGGGCATTGAGGGAAAGGGGGGGGGGGAGGGGATTTAGGGATTTAGGGATTGGGGGAGGGGGGGGAAGGGGTTGGGGGAGATGGGAGTGAAAAATGTGGGGAGGGGGATGTTGATGGGAAAGGGAAGTGGAAATGGGGAAGGAAGCAAAATTTGGGAGGGTTGGGAAGTGATGGCTGAACTGGAATTGGGGTGGAGGAAATGGGGGGTGGGGGGGAATAAAATGGGGAGGGGGGGAGAGCAAAATGAGGGACCTAAAAGTGAGAGGGGAACTAAAATTGGGGGATGTGGGGGTGGTGGGGAGCAGGGATGGGGGTGTTGCACCTTTGGGGAGTGGGATTTGGGGATGGAGCCTTGGGTGTAGTGGGGAAGGGGCACCGGGGGGGTCCCCAGGGTGGGATTGGCACCCCTGGAGACCCCCAGAGAGTCACTGGGAGGTTCTGGGGTTCCCCCCAGCTTTGGGGGCTCCAGGACCTCACTGTGGGGATTCAGGGGGACCCCAGGGTGACACCCCGATTTTGGGGACCCCTGGTGTGTTTCCCCCCCCCCCCCCCAGTGTCAGGGTGCCCCTCCCCCAGTGACACAGCAAGGCTGAGGGACCCCAGCGCTGGCATTTTGAGGGGGGGGAGTCCCCAGTTTGGTACCACTCCCCCCGTTTGGTTTCCCAGGGAATATTGGGGTGCTCTCAGCACCCATTTTTGGGGGGGCTTGCCCCCCACCCCCCAGGTTTATGGGGACATCAGGTTTATGGGGCCCCGAGTTTGTTCGTTCTCCCATTTCCCCAGTGCTATACTGGGGCCCCTCCCCCACCCCCCCCAGAGCTTCTATTTTTGACACTGGAACCGCCCCCCGAAACGGGGGCGCGGCCCCTTTAAGAGCCCTGCCCTCCCCTTTGTAGAGATTTAAATAACCTGATTAAAGCGCGGGGAGGGGCGTGGCTTTCTCCAGCCCCGCCCCTTTGTTCAGGCCCCGCCTACACGCACCTTTCACCCGCTGTTGCTTCCTTGGGCCACGTCCTTTTATGGCGAAAGGGCGTGGCCTGAGCTGCTTTAGCCACTCCCACTCCCCGCCCCTTGCGCTGCCTTCAGGGAGTTTCGCGCCGAAGCCATAACCCCGCCCACTCCCCTTAGCCCCGCCCCCCCGGCAGAATTTAAAGAGACCGCGAGGAATTATTTTTGTTAAAAGTAATAAAAGCTTTAAGGAGAAAAATAAAACATTTGGTGGTCCTTGACACAGGGATCGGTGTCGGGAGGGGGCCCTGGCGTTCCAAGGACCCTGAGCCCTCCCAAATTCGAGGGAGGGTCTCACCTGCCTGTCCCAAACACCTTCTCCAGCAGGCTCTGAGGGGGCGCGGCCGGCGGGGGCCGAGCTTTGCGCCGCCAAATCTCCTCCTCGGTGGCTCTCTGGGTGAAGCCCCAGGTGCGGGGAGGAGCTTCGGGGTCTCCCGAGGTTTTGGGGGGCTCCTTGGAGGCACGGCGGGCGTAGAACCCCCCCTCCCGCTTGGCCTGGGCCACCTCGGCCCGCAGGCGCTGCGCCCGCACCTGGCGCTCGTAGCTGAGGCGCTCGCTCAGGTGAGGCCACCGGAACCCGGGCAGGTACTGGGAGGGATGAGCACAGGTCAGGGGACCCCCAAACAACCTCAGACCGCCCCCCAAAAGAAGGGTTTGGGTTGTTCAAACCCCCCTTAGCTGCTGCTGGGCCAGGTGTGTGGGAGGGGTCTCCCAACAGAGCCCAGCGCCTCCTCACTGAATGCCCCTCTGCCAGTGTGGGGGACCCCCCTGAACCCTAAAACAGGGACCCCCAGTGGACCAAAACCATCCGAGATCCCCCAGAAAAGGGACCTGGGTGCTTCCTACAGATCTGGGACCCCAAAAAAGGGACCTGGGTGCTTCCTACAGATCTGGGACCCCAAAAAAGGGACCTGGGTGCTCCCTACAGATCTGGGACCCCAAAAAAGGGATCCCAACCCCTCACCCAACCCCCTCCCAGTTGCCTAGGAATCCACAGGTGTCCCCTTTCCCCCAAAGGTCTGAGACCCCCCCTAAAGGGGATCTGAGATGTCCCAAAAAATGGACCCAGGTGCTCCCTACAAATCTGGGACACCCAAAAAGGGACCTGGGTGCTCCCTACAAATCGGGGACCCCAAAAAAGGGATTCCAACCCCTCACCCATAAAGGGTCCCAATCACCCAGGAGCCCACAGGTGTCCCCCCCTCCCCCAAAAAGGGATCTGAGACCCCCAAAAATGGATCCAAGCCCTCCTAAAACGGTTCTGAACCCCCCGGGACCCCTCCTCAGGACCCCCCGATGCCCACCTTGATGCTCCAGTAGTGATGGCGGAAGGGGCTGCGGGGCCGGGGGGCCATGGGGGCCCCGTGCAGGATTTTGGCCGCGCGTTTGGCCGCTCGCTTGTCCCGGAATTCCACCCAGCCCTCGGCGAACGCCACGGCCGGGGGCCCCCCCGGGCGCTGCCGCCGCCGCCGCACGGAGCCTCCTGCGGGAACGGGGAGGGGGCGCTGAGACCCCCGGGAGGGCTGAGCCCCCCACCCAAGGGTGCTGAACCCGCCCCCCCCGGCTCCATTGGTGTCAGCGGGGCTGACCCCCAAATTCTGTACCTGCCTGTGGGGACCCCCCCTTTCCCCATTGTTGGAGGTCCCCTGGCACCCCGGGGCTGCGGGAAAACACCCCCAGACCCCCCCCCTCCCCCGGGACCCCCGGACTCACCGTGGGGCTGCAGGAAGACCCTGCCCAGCTCCCCGTGCGGCCGCAGCAGCGCCCGGGCCTGGCGGGGCCCGAAGCCCGGGGGAAGGAAGGACAAATAAATGACCCCCGGTACCACCGGCTTTGAGGCGGGGTCCGAGGGGGCTTCGGCGTGGGGGGAGCCCTCGGGACCCTCCTCTTCTTCCTCCTTTCCTTCCTCTTCCTCCTTTCCTTCCTCTTCCTCCTTTCCTTCCTCTTCTTCCCCCTCCATTTCTTCCTCTTCTTCCTCCTTTTCTTCTTCTTTTTCCTCCTCCTTTTCTTCCTCTTCCTCTTCTTCCTCCTCTTCCTCCTCCTCCTCCTCGCCCCTCCCGTGCGGGTCCCGCTCGGCCCCAGCCATGGCCCCTGCGATGGGCAGGAAGGAGTTAAAATGAAGTGACCCCCCCCCAGAGCCCTCCCCACCCCTTTCCAGGCTCTGCCGCACCCCCGAATTCCGCCCGGGACCCCCAAAATCGCTCCCCGGGCCCCCCCCGTCCCGCACCCGCACAACGCGGCCGGCCGCGGTCGTAAAACACCAACACAGCCGTAAAGCACCGCTGGCAGGGGGCGGGGGAGTCGCGAAAAAGCCGTAAAGCGCGGAGGGGCGTGGCCAAGCTATAGGAGGCGTGGTTATACAGGGAGGGGGCGTGGTTAAACCAGGAGGGGGCGTTTATCAAATGCGGGGGCGTGGCCTGGCGGTGGCGAGAGGCGCCAGCTGCGGTTTGGGCGGGAACGGCTGAGGCGGAGTTTTGGCGGGAAAGGCCCCGCCCGCTCTGGGGCCTCTCGAACCCCCCCCGCCGCCACAGCCCCCGGACCCACTGACCCCTGCCCGGACCCACTGAACCCCTCCGGGACCCACTGACCCCTGCCCGGACCCACTGAACCCCTCCGGGACCCACTGACCCCTGCCCGGACCCACTGAACCCCTCCGGGACCCACTGACCCCCCCCCCGCCAATGTCCCCTCCTTGTCCCCTCAGAGCTCTCCAAGGTGCGTTCACCCCCACCACATCCCCCACAGCCCCCTCCGTGCCTCTCCATGGCCCCCTCAGCCCCCTCAATGTCCCCACAGCCCCCTTGGACCCCCCGTGCCTGTCCATGGCCCCCTCAGCCCCCTAAATCTCCCCACAGCCCCCCAGGATCCTCCCCAGGTCCCCAGAGCCCCCCCCACACGAGTCCCCCTGAGCCCCCCCGTGTCTGGTGCTCATCTGGTGCTGGGGGGGGGGTCCTGGCTGCAGATGAGCAGTGGATTATCCCCCCCCCCCCCCCATAATCCCACAGCTGGGGGGGATTAGAGCCCTCCCGACCCCCCCAAACCCCCCGAGGGCTCAGCCCCACCATGGGACCCTCTGGGGATGTGTTCGGGGGGGGGGGCACCCCTAATCCCCCTCACCCCCCCCTCCCCAATAATTAACATCTGGTTTAATTGGGGGGGTGCTGGGAGCTGCGGGAGTTTGGCCAAGCCGGGATTGGGGGGGTGGGGGGTGGAGCCCTCCCCCTCCCTTCCCCATCAGCATCTGGAGGGACCCCGAGGGGGGGGAACTGGGGGGGATTTGGGGGGGCCAGGACAGAGGCGGCCCCCACCCGCAGTCCCCAGCGGCTGCACAGGGACAGGAGCACCCACGGGCCAGGTGAGCGGGATGGGGGCACGGGGACCCCGAACTGGGGGGTGCTGGGGACCCCCAAACCTCCCTCCAGGCTGGGGACAGAGCCCCTTGCCCCATGGGGGGGCTGCCCCCCTCATTGGGGGTGCCCCTGCCTCATGGGGTGTCATTACCCCCTCCCCATCCCCAACAGGGTGTCCCCCCCACCCCAATGGGTGCCACCCCCCACCCCTCACCCCCTGGGTGTCCTCTCTGTCCCCTCCTTGTGTCCCTGTGACCCCCCCTGTTCCTGGGGTACCACCCCCACCCCACAGGTACTGACCCCTGCCCCACGGGGTGCCACCACCACTGCCCACCCTGCTGACCCCCCCCCCAGTGACCCTCCTGCCCCTGTGCCCCCCTGGCACCCACCCTGCCCCACAGGGAACCACCTCTGCCCCATGGGGTGCCACCACCACTGCCCACCCTGCTGTCCCTGTGCCCCACAGAGGGTCACCAGTGCCCCCCATCACCCCCTAACCCCCCTCTTTGCCCCCAGCCCGCCATGCCAGCCCCACTGGTGGCCCTGCTGGTGGCCCCGCTGGTGGCCCTGCTGTCCCTGTGCCCCACAGAGGGTCACCAGTGCCCCCCATCACCCCCTAACTCCCCTCTTTGCCCCCAGCCCACCATGCCAGCCCCACTGGTGGCCCTGCTGGTGGCCC